TAGTTACCGCTGTTCCCCCTTCGCCGGATTCACAACCTCCTGCTAGCGAAGCAAATCCGATATCATCTACAATTACCAATAACAGATCGGGCTGGATCTCCTTTTTTTCTGCTCGTGCAATGGCGATGAAGAGCATTACGAATGAAAGTCACAATGAAGAAATGGAAGTTATGGATTTGGACGAGGATGAAGCTAGTCCGACCGCTAGCCCTCCATCAACCACCTGCTCTGCTCCGTTGAGCAAGGATGTCAATACCCCATCTCCGGGTTCGACGGGTGTGCCACATATTTCTCCTTCCTCGTCATCTCCAGCTCAGAAGAAACCCGAAGACAAATCTACTCCTACTACTGGCTCGGCCAATTCTTCAAACGCCATCCGGCTTGGCGCTAACAAGTGTCCACCATCTCCGACGCCTTCGAAGAAGTCAGGGGTAAAGACACCTACAACCCCTCCTCCACCGAACTTGGTCTTGCCCACATGGGACGATACTTTCCACATGCATCCTCGTGCACACGTGCCTGCCGAGCCTCCGTCTGCTCTTTCTAAGACATTCCAATATGTCAGCGAAGTGTTCTTTGCGCGTGATGAGACTGCCTCACACAAGAAAGGCAAGGGAAAGTCTGGGGAGCGGCTATTGGAGCCCTATGAACAGGCGCTCCCACGTTCGTGGGATGTGATCGGAGGACAACAACAAGACGTGCTGCGAGGATGTCAAAGGGTAGTTGTGATTGGTGTGCATGGGTGGTTCCCTGGTGCGTTCTTTTCATAGGAAGAAACATAGTACTCATACGCAGCCTCCAAAGGCGCTGTCATGCGGACGGTCATCGGTGAGGTTAGTACATGGTCGTGTATTGTGTATCACAGTTTGACTGATCGTTATGCAGCCCACCGGGACAAGTTCAAAATTTGTGAACATGGCTGTTCAGGCGTTGGAAGAATTCCAGGACAAGCACGACGTGAAGCTATCAAAAATTACCAAGATACCCCTCGAAGGCGAGGGCACTATCAGCCGCCGAGTCGATAAGTGCGTTCTAGACAACTTTCCTCAACAAGATCTCTTTGATGCTCACACGACCACCTCGTGAAAACAGGTTATATCAGAACTTGATCGGGAATAACGAATGGATGGATGACCTCCAGAATGCCGATGTAATTTTTTTTGCCACGCATTCCCAGGGATCGATTGTTTCGACTCACATATTGGATCGCCTCATCACCGACGGGCACATTCGAACAGCACCACGTGACTTGACTGCCAGCGCAATTGCTGTTGCTTCTGGTGACAATATCACACACCCTCCGCAAAGGGTGTGTTGTCTGGCCCTGTGTGGAATTCATCTTGGGCCACTGAGATATCTGAGTACGAGCTCATTAGTCCTACCTTATATCCAGGTAAGTCATGCAATCCCGTTGGGCACCCAAGTTTATACCGAATTACCTAGTACTTCGAGTCGATTGCTGCCCGGGAGCTGTTTGAATTTCAGGTAAGTAAGTTGCATGAAGTGGGACGTTGTTAGGTGATTGCGTTATCCACCAGAATACCGACAGTCAGATTTCAAGAGACTATGTAAATGCGTTGAAAAACGTCCTAGATAATGGAGTATGCACTATGCCCATGGCTGATTAGTCTTCAGATTAACGCCATCATCTTCAACAGGTCAAGATGGTGTATATTGCGTCCTTGAATGATCAAGTAGTAGGGCTGTACTCCGGGCTGTTCACTTCAGTGACGCATCCCTTAATTTTGCGTGCGCTTTACATTGATGGAGATGCATACCAGTGCGTGTCAAACATGTCACTCATTTCACGCAAGTTCGGCTCACGTCGCAATTTTTTTTAGTTCTTCAGATTTCCTGTCCAATCTCCTCGTTCTCCTGCTACGTATTCGAAATGCAGGGCTATCAGACGGTGGACTACTTGCGCATTTGTCGGAGTCAACCGCTGGATCGCTGAATGGGGTTGGACATTCGACCGCATACGAGGAAACTGCCACATATTCGTGAGTATTATTCTTCTACCAATGAATGTGATTGACCCTGCAAGCAGATTCGCAATCAACTACCTTTTCCTATCCGACTCTGGACAACACTCACAAGTTGAGCTTACAATGGAGCCGTTTGATGCGCGAACGGAACAGAACGATTACGAGGTTTGCTACTGCCTGTCATATCTCTTTCTCACAATGAAAAATTTCCCCTAGATTCCCTGGGCTCTCCGTGACCTCATCGCTGATGATAGAGTCGCCGAGCTCTTTTCAGATGATTTCATTCGTCTGCGAGATGCTTTCCGAGACTGGCAACCCAAGACTGCAATTTTGCGTGATGTAAAAAGGAAGCTCCAGCCGATTCAAAGATTGTCATCAACCATGATTTCCAAACATGCCGATTCAATGAGCAAACTATAATTCACCCTCGTTACACCTGTGGCTCTGATCGGTGAACTCTGTCGTTCCTCACATTGCATTACTAGATTTTCACCTTAATGCTCGTGAAACAATATCCCCCGTCACTGTATATCATTCATTTGCATCGCCCCTAGCAGCCGGTACTCACAAATATATAATTCATTGAGATCATTGCTATGCAAGGAAAAAAAAGTAAGCTCCGAAGCCTACAGAGTACGGGATGAAGTTCCACGAGTCCCGGATCTTACATGCTAAACAAACACAGCAAAAACGGCGTACAGAACCGATGTGGCTCGTGATGTTGGTGTTTACAGCAATGGAATCAAAGGGTTGATGTGATGTGGATCGTAAAATCACATGGAAGAACGTCGGCTGGAGGCTGGGTATAACATCGAACCTTCGGACCCCACAATGCAGATCCTCGTTCTGAAAATAGTATATTATCTCTGGCACGTTAATAATTTGATCCTGAAGATATGCACACAGATCTAATTTTCGAGTTCTCATCAAAGATACACCACACAATCACAAGATGAATAGCTGTACAGAAAAATGATAGGGTACAGCCATGTTAACGATATTCGGCCCCACAGTCCCCTATCAAGGTAATCATCCGGCGGCCGTTGGACCGAGCTTGTACTGCTTCAATGACACGATTGTCCTCGTCAGTCAACCTGAAACTAAAAACACGGTCATTGTCATCAATGTGCTCAGAAACTCCCAAACGGGCGCCTGCAAAAACCAAAATAAATCTCCGCTTCGAAGACAGATGAGTGTCCCTACCAATGATTACAGCTCCGACAAAAGAGTGATCAAGGACCCATCGCGTGGCTATGTTTGCAATGCTTAGCCCTCCATGACGATCGCCGATATCACGCAGCACTGCCAAGAGGGACTGGAAAAGTGTCCAGTTTCCCCAGGCCTTCAAAATCATATCGAGATACTGTGGACGGTTATGAGACCTTGCCGTATGCGCTAGGCGACCTACACGGAACAGGAGACTCGTACCTTGCGCTGAGATGGCGTCAAAACACCGGAATAGAGGTCTGGTTCCGGCTGATTTAACCACTGATCTGCCAAAAATCCACCGCACTGCCAAGCACTGTGTAGTGATCCGAGATCAGGGCGAGGAAAAGCGATACACGTACCAGCGTGCCATATGTCAATAATTTCACATTGTGCCGTTCACATACATCTGCCATCCCGTGCAGGGGTCGAGTGTCAATTAAGGAGAACTAGATGATGGTGAGAACTATAATGAAGCATTGGTTTAGAATCCTGACCTGAACTTGATTGGAAACGATGAAACCAGGCCCCAATTGTGTACATATTTCATCTGTTCGTATGGCATCAAAATTGCACAGGCCGACCGCGCTGATGAGCCCTTCATTCTGAAGGTCTTGAAGAATTTGGAGGGCGGTGAGATATCCTTTGTCGGAGTAATCTTGCCAGTGAAACTACGAAAGGACAGGATTACGATGTTATCAAAAGGATATCGAACCCTCACCCACCTGCAACAAGTCCACAGTGGTGGTGCGCATGCGTGTCATACGCTCCCGAACCGCGTTCTCCACCACAGAACGCGACGGTTCTGTTTGTCGGAATACACACCACTTCGTAGCCCCGACAACTCCTGCCTGGCTGGGTAGTGATTCTTTGAATTGCCCCTGAAAATGCCAGCTCGGTTTGATGCGTGACCTGGGTAAAACTGAGGAACATAACTTACGTAGAGTATTTCCGCGCTTCCATAATGATCGGCTACGAGATCTTGCTCAGCTCATGCAAAATTCAATCAGATTCGAACATACCCTATACGCCGATACCGGCGAAGTCAGTTTTATTTGAATGACCTATCAAGGAATGCGGATTGCGTACCATATCTACCAAAAAACGGCGTTCACGATTGCAGGGAATCACACATGACCTGATATTCGCGACTCACCGAAGGCATTGTAACCCATTTCGATGTGTCTAGCCATTGCTTGACGGATCTTTGCTGCCGAAGCGCTTCCCCAAGCGTTACTTGATAGCTGCCAAAGACCTACCCATACTCGAGGGACAGTGAAAGGACCGAGAGGGAATGTCTCTTTGGGTTGCGGTCTTGTTCTGGGCATAGTTAGGAGCAGGATAGGGGAACAAGGCAATAAAAATGTGGCATTATAATGTTTCATTATCAAACTCCGTTCCAATCCACGGACCAAGGCGACAAGTAGAAATCATCCAGACACATGTTAACATTGGATTAGTCCGGCTCTGTGACACAGAAATGATGACTTAACATAGAGGAAAAATGAAAAAACGCATTTAGCATTCATTTCCAAATCATCACGGCAATTAATAGGTGACCGCTGTCACAGACGTCCACGATTGTACGTACCCGTACGGAAAGGTTTTGCTCAGCCCTGTGCTCATCAGTGATGATCTGACTTGCCTCGAAATAGTTGCGGAACCAGTCCTGGCTTCTAATATGATGACACTTCCAACTGGGCTGATGCCCGAGAATATGCACCGCAAGCGTTAAATAAGTTCGGATCCAGCTGTCCGACAACTCGTGTCCTCCCTCACAATTCAATCACCAGCGCTCATCCTGTTCCAATGCCCGCTCCCGAAGTCGCACCTGTCCATACACACAACGAGACTGCCAAAACACTGGGGCATGTGTAAGTTGCCGTCTTACCCCTTAGCACGCCTGCCCATTTACTGATGCATTGTTTGTAGTAACTTGATGGTAAGACACCGTAAAATCCCACCTAAACGGCATACGCATCTTACTCTCACAGGTGGACACATTGATTGCAAATGCTACGATAGATGAGCAAGTGCCTGTCATTTCCGCTGCCACGTCAGAGCGCTGACCATGCTAACTCCCAAACAGCTTGCGCGCGATCACTCGAAATCTCCTTGCAACTGGCACCCCCAGTCTTGCAGCTGCATTTACAGCCGCAGCACGATCGCGCCTCCGTCAGACCAGTGCTAGACGTATAGCGACGACAAATGGTTTATTCACGACTAGTCACAATGGTATCCATGCTATTCCCACACAAGAGCTAGATAATGCCCTCGCCCGCGCTCGTTCTCTATATGGAGCTGGAATGGGTTTCGCGAGTTTGGGCATCCTTTCTTCTATTGTAAAAGCAACTGTTGGCTTAAGATGGGAAGAGGATGGCGCAATGGCCGATGTTTTGGCAGTCATCGATGCGGATATCAGCCAAGCTATGCAGGTCGGTGTCACATAACTCCCCCGCATATCGTCCGCTAACCGGATAGCGGCAGAGTTGCAAAGAAGAACTGGAAGGTGGACGCGTGAGCGATACGGCGGTTCCTCAGGAAGCGATAGGCAATCTATGGTCGAATATCGGGGAAAGTGCCAGGGACGTCGAAATTTGGGGGGGAGAATTTCCTTTTGACAGAGCATCTAACAGCATCGAGTGCTGGAAGTTTTAGCATACCTGTCTAGAGTTGTAATTACAACTTGACTGAATGTCTCGTTGTAAGGCGGACACCACGCTACTGCTCAGGGCATTTAGTGTGTAACCATTAGAATTATGAGGGTGGCAAACACTAAGATTCTGAAGCCGGCTATAATTCACAACGGGAACCAAACTAGATAGCGGGATCAACGTGGATACCATCTATCAGAAATAGGACGTTTCCATTTACCAAAAACTGGGTACTAACCGGCGAAACGCTCTGACAACAGGAGTAGCGAAGGGTAGTTTGTTGACCGGTAAATTGATTGCAAAAGTAATGTTAAACCATCTAGGCAACCCTAAAGGCTGTCAAGGACGTCAAACCGCGGCAAGGTAAGCTTAATCATGATGGCAGATAACTAATCTGAAAGTCAAAATGCAGCTTCCCGAGTCCTTTTAGAATAGTTCAAGGAACGTTCCGTTTCCTGATCACGCAAAATTCTAATTCAGCGCTGTCCAATTATTCACTGTTCAGGAAAGCCTCGAGCGTCAATGTAAACTTGGGCTTGCCAGCGTTCGTCGCCACTTGAGGATGTGGCGCAAGCGAATGAGGGTCGTCGAGTCGTACTAGGCCCCGACGGGAGTTACTTACCCAAAATATGCGACACACGGTCGAGTGCAGCTGGTGACCAACTCACGCATATTTTTACAGGCCCCAAATGACCATATGAAAGGGGTATCAGATTTCTCATCCACGCGACGGCGTTTACTGAACTGCGGAATGGCACCATTAAATTGTGTTCCAAGGGACGTGATGATACTGACTCGGCTGAGAGTCACAAGACACATAACTTGAACATCTCGTGGGAGGGTGAAAAAGTCGTGCGCACAAATCGCGGGCTTGGCCCTTCTACCTGTCAAAAAGCCTAGGCCACTGCATCTGCTGGTCGCAAGGATGGAATAGAATCATGATCCGCCTGCAGCACTAGAACTGTCAAGCAGCGAGAGGTGAAACGCTCTAAAACCGATTTGGACACCGAGTTAAACTGAACTTTGCTCGTCAGGCTATATTTTGGATCGGCGATTTAATTCCAGGCCATCAGCCATCGAGTTATTATTTGCTCGATAAGTCGATCTCCTACATATTGCGACCTCAAGGCCTCAGATCAGCTGCAACTTCGTCCGAGTAGTAGCTTAAGTGCTTAAGCTTGAGGATGATATGCTCCAATATGCTGTTTTTATCGGGCACTCATGTTTTGGTCACAGGCCGACCAATTCACCTGACACCCACAATTCAACATGGCATCATGACTTCTTGTCCGTGAACTACTTTATGTGACGACATTTCGTGGCACTCCATTAACGGCCTTTTGCAATGATCCGCGAACACCAGCCAAATTGTTCTTTCCCACTTTCAACTGTGACGAGCGCTCCATTTGTGTGCTTCTCAATCAGAGTTTAAAAGCCTGTCTCGACATCAAGAAGAGCTATACAATCCGAGACGGCTTCAGTTAACAGTAAGTAAGAGCATTATTGTCTCAATTTGGAATAGCCTAACCAGTCATTGGGTTATTCTGAGGCACACTCCGCTAATCACGTCGCCTAGTGCTCAGCGCTCAGCGCTCATGGGCGAGTACTTGCTAAGTGTTAACGTAAAGGTTTCGGATTGGCATCCTGGCGTCAATGCAGGCCGGCATCTTGCTCCAAATATAGTTCCTGTGCATTTGTCAGAATGCGGTCGAGTACCGCTGACCCAGCGCAGAACGCTCGTGCCCATTATCATTGTCTAGCGACATCCCCCCATTTGGCTACCATAGCATGACTGCTATCATTCATAACTCACAAGGTCCTAGATCCTGAAAACAAATCCACACTGGATACTTGACATTGTGATTCTAAGCTCTACTTCACTTGGTGTCACCTGTGAATGCTGTTGTATGTACAGTCACGCGCATTGTCATTGACCTCGCTCATAATATCTGTGAGGGTCGTGTTCAAAGTTTTGCCCAAACACTAATCTTGTGACCAGTCGGTTCATGACTATTTGGGATCCGGTAGCATATGATGAGTAACAATCCTTTATTTGAATTGATACTGATGATGTAAGGAGTCGATCTCCTACGCGCTTTACTTTTGACGTTTTGATTCCGGCTTATAACTGGCTTGTGCCAGTCGGCTTTTGGAGGAGGTGACCTATCTTTCACCTCGGTTGGGCAAGTGAGTTCCCGGTTATCGATGTAAACTTTTCGGCTACATGCGAGTTGATGCAACCCCATGGCGGTTTGCACCATGTGAGATGTCGGGTATCATTTCAGCGGCCAGGAACGTCCAAGGCAGGCCGCGGCCCGCCATTCACCAAACCCATAAGTGGCCCGCTGAATGCCGGCTTATATGTTTACCAAGACCGCACGTGTTTCTATTTTCCATTTTCCAGGTCGCATCTGCCATCGACCAAGTCGGTTTCTTTACCCCACAAAAATGATCACTAATTATATAGTCGGGTATCACATACGACTGTACCCGGTTTATTAGATTTTTTTCATGCGAGCCCCGGTGAGCAGACCAGGCTTCTTTGTGGTCGATTTAATTGTCACCGTCTAGTTCGTGCCGGAGACTTGCGTCTTCGTTATTCTGGGACGGAAAGCAACGTGTGCCGGGGCGATGTTGAACTATGCTGATATGCCATGTACCCTCAGACTACGGAAGTCCTGAAGCCCCAAGTTCTACGCTCTAATTGACATACAATAAGTAAACCTTGCCGCAGCTGTTCTTGTCACTTGCTATGAGCCTTACCATGAATAATAAATTTCAACTCTACCGTCTGCCGATTCTCGCTAATGGCGCTTCTGTTTGATATGCTCATGATTTATTGACATAACCATAACTTCCGGCACACTCCTTGTTTCGTACCAGCCTGTTTACTGTAAAATCTACTAGGTATTTTATAACCTCCTAGGACTTGTTCGAGCTTTTACCGATGGGGCATATCTTCTTGATCAAAGCATTGTGTTAATCTGGGAACCCGGCCGGGTGATTCAAAAATTGTGTTAGTTAGTTACTCGTGCCAGATTTACCGCTGTTACAACAATATGCAGCGCCTGGTTTATTCATGACTAGACACCTCAAATTCGAGCAAGACCAGAGTTGGGGACTTGCTGCAGGGACTTGCGAGTTATTGTGACTCGTTGTCCCGACATATTTATTCGCATAGGTTGACATTGACATCGTATTGTAATTGATCTTCCTCACCAATCCCATCCTTTGAACAAAAATGTACATACTTTGGTTCCATGTCTATGATATTCCTCAATGATAGTTTTTTTGAGCGTGCAGGACGAAATAAATTGTCAAGGCTTGTGTGCTGCTCCTGTCGCGGAGGGTGAGAGCAGCCGACCGACTTGCCGAGAGAGAAGGAAAATTGGAATTCTACCCCGAAGCGAGATACGAGTGTAGGATTAGAATTTAGAACAAGGGCTTCGTGCAGCGGCTGTGCAGCACGTGGCTTCTCTTTTCTGCCTACAGGCTACACTCTAGCAAGCTCCGGCGCCTTGTCTGCAGCCTCCTTTCGGATTTTTTCCCCCGTCACGCTGAAATGTCACCTGCCAATATGTGTCGTGACGGAGTTTTTGACAATAATGGCACGCATCACTTGCAGTTGAAGTGCCGACTTGTGCGCTGCTGGATATATATTTTCATCTTATCCGAATACTAACTGAACTTGCGCAGAGTCTTGCTTGACTGTGCCTATGTAACCATGCTGTGACTTACTGTGACATTTGCGTGACTGCCGGGTGCCGATTGCACCGGAATGTGTAGTAATATTAATTGGCTTACCCACCCAGGTCCCACCAGGTCCCACTAGCTGCTGCTCGATTTGCAAAGACGAACGATATGGCTCTCTCAGGTACAAATTTCGGGCCGTTTTCTCATTGTATTATGAATCAACTTTTGGTCGGCTGCCGCCTATAGGAGTAGGGCACTGTTAACGTAGCGGTGAGTTGCAACATGAGCCTTCTTGCATGTTCGTATCGGTTTATCGCATGGCTATAAAAAACGTCCAACTTATACTGACTCATATGTATGATCAATTCCTAATTTGGGATGCCTCCAGGCTCCCAACATTATTTGTACGAGCCTGTGATTTCGACTTTCCACACACGGATGCAACAGATTCATCACACAGTTCCGAAGACTTGCTGCAATTGCCAGTCGCAGACCAATCGCAGACGCATATGTATTTGCTGTTGCGGCAACTTTGTCCAATCGGTCACAATTGGTTCACGGCAGTTCAAACGCTCATGCCGCCCTCATGTGAGGCCGCCGCCGCTACAACCATACTCCACCAATGGCATTCGGTGTTAACTATATCAGTCATCCGCTTCGCACCTGCTTACAATATCGACCTCCGTTTTTCTTTATAGTCTAAAAGTCCTTGGGCTTGTGGCGTACCATGTCGACGTTGACAAAGATATCAGGGTCATTTGACCAGCCCCACGATGCCGCTACCACAGAGACCAAAGTGTCTGCCTCACAAAGTGTCGAATGTGATCCACACCTCGTCTTCCTTGAGCCGGAGGATAATCCGCAGAACATGTCCTCGTTCAGACGGTGGCTCGCGGTCCTGATCATCAGTTCCGCCTCTCTATGTGTGACATGTACCTCTTCGATTGCGAGTCATTTTGTATGTCATTTTGGTTGAGACTGATTGTGCTCCAGGCTGCGTTCACAGAACAAGGTGTCGCTGAAACATTCCATGTCTCACAAGAAGTGACCGTTCTTGGAATTAGTCTATTTGTCGTAGGTCTCGGAAGTGGACCGCTCCTCGTTGGTCCATTGTCCGAAGTATATGGTACGTCCAATATTTTTATCCAAAAGCGTACTCTCAAGGAGTTGGGCAGGCCGAAATATTGTATACCAAATATCTTATGCGTTATTCTTCATCTTCACATTCCCCGTGGTGTTCGCTCCCAACATCGGTGAGTACATTTGTTACCAGAATGGATGATGGATCTACAACAGAACAACAGCTGTTTTCTTGGTCTTTCGCCTTATCACTGGATTCTGCGGATCAGCCTTTTTGAGTGTAGCTGGAGGTAGTGTAAGCGATATGTTTCCGAATTCGAGTATTGCAAGGTAGGCCCTTGGATTTGCGTTCTGTTCGATATACTGCTGATTCATGTGCCAAGTCCGATGGCTGTGTATACCATGTAGGTTTACTCGAACAACGCTAACAGCCACATTATATTATGGAGTGACTGATCATCTTGAAGATCTCCATTTATCGGACCAGTGGCTGGCCCTGTGATTTCTGGGTACATTTTTCATACTCCTTGGCAGCACTGTTCCTGATATGACGTGATGACGTAGATTCATCAATCAGGTCAGACTCATTGGCATGATCCTTGATCCTCGTTTGACATTTTTCTGACAGCACCTATACTGGGAATGGACGTATCGAGTGCAGTTGTGCTGGATTTTCGTAGAGTTTCTGATGTTGCTTTTAGTGCGTTTTGTATTTCTTTTGCGAGATGGATTGACTTATAAATTGAATTTAGTTTGTTCCTGAGACGTACGTCCCAGTGATCCTGAAGAAGAAGGCAAGAAGGTAGGAGTGGATGTTCTCTTTTTCTTCTCATCTTTACACGATACATTAATTCGCTCGACAGACTGCGGAAGTCGACTGGAGACCCAAAGTTTTATGCTCCATTGGATAGACGGGAAGGCACTCTTACTTCTGCTATCCTCGTCAGTTGCTACAAACCGTTTCGTAAGTCATCAAGGATCATCTCCGCTCCATCGCAAGTAACGGTGTGGCATCTTTACTAGAATTACTTATATTCGACCGAATGGCACTGCTTTTAGACTCCTGGTAAGGGCAATACAACTTATTGACACTGTGTAAGTCCTGATCATTCCAGGAATGCCCTTATTCTTGGAATCCTATACCTGGCATTCCAAGCATTCCCCATTATTTTCGAAAATATTCATGGATTTAATATGCAAGACACTGGACTAGCGTTCATTGGGATTGGATTCGGGATGCTTTCAGCCATCTCAACACAACCGCTCTGGAACAGGGGGGTCCCATTTTCTCTGGCGTTCAGCATTAAATCAATATTAATGGTCCTCATTTCTAGACTATATGCCCGTGAAACTGCCAAACACAACGGTAATCCACCTCCTGAGATGAGGCTTATTATGGGTCAGGTAGGAGCGATACTCGTGCCAGTGGGTCAGTAACTAGTCTTTCTTAGTCGCGTGATGCTTACCATGTCTACAGGTTTGTTCTGGCTCGCATTCACTACATATCCGCAAGTCCACTGGATTGCCCCAATCATCGCGTCTGTACCTTTCGGCTCTGGGATATATTTTGTTTTCACATCAACGTTCACGTACCTTGTCACCGCATACCGCCCAATCGCTGCCTCTGCCATGGCAAGTAATAGTGCATTGCGGTCAGCATTTGCCGCTGCATTTCCGTTATTCGCGGGAGCAATGTATAATAGACTGGGGACTGTTGGCGCTACCGCTCTTCTGGCTGGTCTCTCAACGATTATGGCGCCATTACCGTGAGTCAAACAAACAGCAAGTAGTATGCAACATTGACCCTCATTTCTGACCATCAGTTTCATATTTTACCGAATTGGCGCGCGATTGCGGAAGAATTCGCGTTTCGCAGCAGATTGAATATTTTTACACATACGACCTATAGATATTAATATTGTCAAACGGCAAAGCTCCAGCGCCTTGTACGTCGAATCAACCTAACTTATAAATTGACGCGTCGGCGGCAGTGGCGGCTTCTCTAAAATAAACACTAGACGATCGCATATCTCAGAAAATACTTACATACTTTTTGCATGATTGATCACGACGGGTGCGTGACTCTAAATACTGAGTTTCCGATGTCAGTGCTGTGATATGACGCAATGAGTGCACACCTGTTATACATCTGTTGCTGGATCACTGAAATGGAAAGCCTGTCGCTGATACATTAATAAGCCCAGGCACGACCAAGGCAGCCCCGAGCCCCAAGAAGGACCATGTACGGAGCTTTAATGCTGACACGACCCTTCACCATTCTCACGTGTAGAATGTTCGACATCAAGTTAATATCAGCCATTCTTCCTCCGACCGCCACAGGGTGTGTTTATTTTCTGGACGCTCTTCCGCAGTAACAATTTGATGAAGCCACAAACTCATATCGGCATTCTTACGAACATGCTATCGCCATCATTTGGGGACTGGCGCATGACTCAAACAGTTGCTGAAAGGCTGAAATAGCAGCGAACTCCCTTAAACGCCTGCTTAATTACCACTGTGATACTCAGGAAGGTAATGCCATTGTTATATGGCTGACACCATTCACACCATAGCTAAGCCATCCTCTGTATGGGGAAACTGCCAACCCGTCGGAAGATACCTGGCTGAGACGGGCACTAGGATGACTCCATACAGATGCGGCGCTGGGCTCACCCACCCACTCTAGAAACACCCACGCTATTTTGAACATAAACCAGCCATCCGTTCCCTTCCGTTCCCCAAATTCAATTAATCATCGTAATCAACGGAACCGCGGCGGATGAGAGCCTGTGAGAGCGCTTGAGTTAGACTATACAGGAATCAGTTCTGCATCGGTTCGAGGCCATACGTCACGGTGCGTTCCAGAGTATTTTCTCAAGAGGCGGGAAACCCACGTTCTTCGGTAATGTTATGTTCACCGTTCAGGGGGATCCGCGGTGGTTCGGGAGGTGGCACGTGGATGTCTGTGGTTGTGTGCTTGGTTTCTTATCATTTCCTGGGTCACTGATGTCGGACATTCTCTAGCAGACCGGGCGCTGCGCAGCTGCAACAGCAGCTGACAGGTAGTTGATTGTACGCAGTCGATTTTATTTGTCATCCTGCAGAGGAGTTCAACGGCATCTGATTATCATGTGATGGAGGGTATCTATATACAATTATTGTAACCTGGGTATATTCTACAATGAAATAGCGGGATATGTAGGATCGAATCTGCAGTACACGAGAGCAGAAGCAAATGCAGAAAGACGAACAGAAAGTAGGAGATGAGAGCAAGAAAAGCGCCAAGACAGAATGAAAGACAAATTATGAACAAACGAACGTCGAAGATCCTAGAGCATAGCGCATGTGAAACATAATTATCAGGAAGCGACCGTACCTCGAACACCATCCTCAGGTCACTGACAAAGACATAATTCATACCTCCTCATCCCCCTCATCCCCTTCCCCATCGCTCATAGCATACAGACTCAAACTCGTCATATCCCCAAGGTGTAGCTCGTGTTCGGGGCGCAATTGTAGACTATGCGGAGACCCAGGAGCTTCTGTCATCGAGAAAGTCGCAGTGCTTGGGCTCGCGGCTACTGTGCCCGTCGATGCGAAGGAAGTGAATGATACAGATTTGACTTGTGTAAGAAGATTGAGGGGCGTAGAAGGAATGCGAACGAGGAATCATTGAATGCGAATGCGAATGTTTATGCCCCAATTTTTTAGCAACGGGAGAGGAACCGCCAGGAGAAGGCGGTGACTCGCTCACCACGTTGGATAATCCCACATCCTCCAACATCAGCATCGACATTTCAGGCGGTGGAGCAGGGAACAAGCTCGAGGATGTGCTCGCGCGTCTTTGTCTCTGCAGATGTCTTCTCTGCGGGGAAGGAGGAGGTTGAATGGACAATGAAGATGTAGGTTGGGGCTGTGTCTGCTGTGGAGAAGGAGGTCTGAACTGAGTGGACCGCGACGGCGAGGGCGTCCGTCCGGACGTGAAATCGAAAGACGCCTTAGCGGATACAGTATGGTGTCTGTCATGCTGCAGGAGATGCGAGTGCGATCGTTCAAGATGAGGCATACGAGGGACAGGTGTGAGCATTCGGGATTGACGAGCAGGGGAGACACGGAGAGAAGCGAGGTGTTTTCGGGGCAAGCGCTCGAAGTCTTGGTCGCAGCGATGTGTTTTATCGGACCCATCTTCCTCGTCCTGGCTAAGCACACCAAGTCCTATGCCTCTGCCCAAGCCCACATCATCTCTGTCCTGAATTGCCGTGGCTTCTAACACCCTCAGCCTTTCCCTCAGCATCCCATTCTCTTCCCTCAGTCTCCTGCACGCCTCTTGGGAATCCTGCAAGGGCATTCAGGAGTGCGGAGGTCTCGAGATAATGTTTTTCTTGAAGCGTCCGGACGTCGGCTCCTATTCCATTCCCAACTCCAACTCCAGCTCCAGCACCAATCCCCGACCCCACACCACTGCTTACACTCGTAGGAGCTGTGCTTCCTGAGAACGCAGTCCTCGCGGCACTTGAGAATGTCGGGCTGGGGCTCCATCCTGCACCAGCATTCCCTGTCGTACACGCGCTCCTTGTGCCAAACGAAGATGTGCTCGCAGCTTCTGAAAATGCCGCACGTGATGGGGCATGGTCCCGCAAGGAAGCATAACGGTTGATAGTCGAATAGTCACGATCCCTATCATAAAAGCCAAGAGACGTTTCACGATCACGATCCAACCGGCTCATCACCGAAGTAGCACCTTCACGGTCACGGTCAAACCGACTCAGCACTGAACTTGCACCTGCTCGATCCGGCTCAAATCGATTGACTCTGGTAGACCCTGCCTTCTCTCCGAACCCTGCACCAGCCTCCTCTCGTTCCCCGTCGAACAACCCAGCGGCAGCAAATGCTTTGACAGTCCTTGGACCAAGCCATTCCATGGTTGGAGGTCCTGGTGTATGCGTGCTGCGGGTGAGCGGGGAGGACACAAGTCTGTTTTCTCCGGAAGCGAGCTTGACTCTGCCTGCTCTCTCTCCAACTCCGTTCTTTACACCAAGCCCGAACCTCCTTGCACCATTGAGGCGATTGCTCGCGCTTGATCCCGGTTTCTCAACACGAGCGGATAAGGATGAGGGTTCGTCAACACTTAAGCTTCTCTTCCGGCTAATAAAGAGGTGGGGATGATGACGGCGACGGATATGGGCTGGGTCGTGGGGGGTGCTTGTAGTTGGGGGAGGGCTAGATGTGGGAGTCCTTGGGTTTGCGCTGGTAGTGGTAGTGGGGGGTGAGGAGGTGACCGCGGTTGAGGGAGACGCGCTAAGACTGGAGGGTGCGGTAGAGGTAGGTACAAGAGTTGTAGTGATACAGGGCACCGAAGGCGGCACCCCTCTGGTGGGCACAACATTGACATTTGGACACGAGGATACGTGTCCCTGCTGCTCTGGGCGATGATTCTGCTACAAATCATCCTGTAAGTATGTGAATTAACGCGAACATGAAAAGACTCACCTCGGCCGATACAGCACGAGCATTCCTTGTCCCAGTATCGGAAGAGGAACGAGGCGTGAAGCTGACGTTTACTAATGAGCGAGGGACACATGTGTCCGAAGATACCCTCAACCCCGTAGTGTCCGATGACGATCGCATCACCGTATCCGCTGTGACCTGCCCAGCCGATAAAGGAGACGGAGGTTTGTGCCTCTGCATTCTCGTGGCTGTTTCTACAGATGTGCCTGGCGTGATCGCAGCGATGGAAGGAGAAGCAGAAGTGACACTCCGCACGAGCCTTGGCAAATGTGACGGTGGCCGACGCATGTTAAGAGAAGGACGGGAAATAGGGAGTTGCGTAGGTTCTGGAGAGTGTACCACTCCTTGTGACGGTCTGGAGCCCAGCGACACCAAGGATCGTGCATCTGACTGGGGGACTGCTGATGGTCGTATGCTCGGGGATAGAGGTGTTATTGGCTCTCGTGACAGCGGTTCGACGGAAGAGCACCCTGGTGATAAAGGTGTAGTAGATTGTTCAGTTAAAGGTGCGGAGCGTGGTCGAGGACCAGGTGTTTGAGGAATTATTGAAGCTGCAACTCGGTATGGCGCAACACTGAACCCGTCTGATACCAATTTATCGGTGGCTGATTCTCTCATGTCCTTTCTGGGCACGCGATGAGGACTGAGTAGCTCGGCAAGGTCGGGATCGAGCGCACTGAAGTCAAAGGTCGCATCTGGGTCTGGGTCTGAGATCTGAGGGAGACAAGAAGTCGTATCCCTACTGTCAAACCCATGGTTTGTTCCCGATGGTGGCGGCGCTACGTCTGCGTCTTCGACCACAACAGCACTGGACCAACCGTCGGCAGTGGTGGGGGATAGAGCGTCATGGAGTTCAGCGGATAATTTCGAGAGGGATAGATCGAGATTGGAGGTGGTGGGGGAGGGACCACAAGAAGTTTGAGGGACAGAGCGGTCTTTTGGAGTGGGAAAGGTGCCGTGAGATGGTGGGGGGGAGAATGCGACCTTAGATGGAAAGAATGTGTGTGGCGAAGTAGGGGAAGGAGATGGGGAAGGACTTGCGGAGGGTATGTATTTCGAAATACCCGAGTTTTCAGCTTCGAGGATGGTGCTAAGGTCAGCGGGGCATGGGTGGACGAGGGCTAGTAATGAATATTTCATAATAATACTTGAACAAAGATAGCAAAACTACGAACCATACATCTCGTCATCAAGGAACTGGGAAGTAGTAGATAGTGAAGGAAGGAGACTGTCGGAGGCTGAAGCAACGCGGACAAGGTCATAGCTCCTTTTGTGCGCAAATTCTTCAGCATCAAGACGTGATATAGATATGACAGGGGGATTATCCTGATCACGTTGATGGTCGCGGGCAGAAGAAAAGGAAGGTTTGCGATCACTGGAGCGACGGAGAGAGGCAAAGTGAAATGGGTGTTTTGTTTGTGTTGGGGGCTGAGCTGGCGACGTTGGTTTGCTATTTCCAAAAGGGAGGAGGAGATTGCGGATAGCCCGAAAGGATGGGACACTTGATGGTGTGGATGGCGTTGACGGTGTGTACTACTATCAGATGTGCGACGCATAAGCGGGAGGGGATTGATACTGCTTGACATCGAAGACCGCGACGTGCGCGTGCTTATCATGCCCAAGCCAGGTGATAAGTCTGCCATGGTGTCGACAAAGATGAAGAACGTTAAACTGTTCCTCACCCTTCCAGAATGAATGTTACACTAGTCGTGACGGACGTGCGTCTGTGGCATGCACGCTGCGAAGACCGGCTTCGGGATAGGCAGGAAGTCAGTTTAACGACGACGGCGACGACGAGCCGTTCGTTGTCGCTAGTGGCAAGCGACGAACCGCAACCTCAACAAAATTATCGACTAGCATCGTCCCTTGATTTTAAACACACTTGCCTTTTTCGGCGATCGTCTTTGATTCCATGTCCGCTTCCGCGCAATTTCTACTTTGTACTACCATAGGGGAATCCAGAGCACTGGTAACGTTGCTACCTTCTAGTATGTTCCACTGCCACTCACTATCGAGTACTACGGGGCACACAGCTATTGAATATGTGACATATGTGGTGTGTGACAACTTTCTGCCACGTCGAGGAGCACCATCTACCGACTCGCCGAGTCATCTAAAGTCTTCCCTCAACTTCCCTAATATTCCGCTTTTCAAAAACTGGGGGCGTCCTCCTTTTGCGCTTCTGTCCCGACATGTCCCGTCCTGGCCTGTCCTGTCCCAACATGTCCTATACTGTCCTGATGTGTCCTGGCCTGTCCCAACATGTCCCGTCCTGGCCTGTCCTGTCCCAACATGTCCTATACTGTCCTGATGTGTCCTGGCCTGTCCCAACATGTCCCGTCCTGGCCTGTCCTGTCCCAACATGTCCTTTAATGTCCTGACATGTCCCAACATGTCCTGGCTTGGCCTGACATGTCCTGATGTGTCCCAACATGTCCCGTCCTGGCCTGTCCTGTCCCAACATGTCCTTTAATGTCCTGACATGTCCCAACATGTCCTGTTCTGTCCTAACATGTCCTGGCTTGGCCTGACATGTCCTGATGTGTCCCAACATGTCCCCAACATGTCCTGTCCTGTCCTTATGTGTCCTGATGTATCCTGTCTTGTCCTGATGTGTCCTGGCTTGGCCTGACATGTCCTGATGTGTTCCAACATGTCCCAGCTTGTCCTGACATGTCCCCAACATGTCCTGGCCTGTCCTGATGTGTCCCCAACATGTCCTGGCCTGTCCTGATGTGTCCCAATATGTCCTGTTCTGTCCTAACATGTCCCAGCTTGTCCTGATGTGTAATGATATGCCCCAACATGTCCTGGCCTGACCTCATATGTCCTGGCCTGACCTCATATGTCTCAGCTTATCCTGATGTGTCCTGATGTGTCCCAACATGTCCTGCTGTGTCCTGATGTATCCTAATGTGTCCTGATATATCCCAACATATATGTGTCCTGACATGTCCCAACATGTCCTGGCCTGTCCTGATGTGTCCTGACATGTCCTGATGTGCCCCAACATGTCCCAGCTTGTCCTGACATGTCCTAGCTTGTTCTGACATGTCCCAGCTTATCCTGGTCTGTCCTGACATGTCCCAGCTTGTCCTGATGTATCCTGATGTGTCTCAACATGTCCTGGCATGTCCTGATGTATCCTAACGTGTCCTAGCTTGTCCTGATATGTCCTGATGTGTTCTGAAATGTCTTGATGTGTCCTGAACATGTTAGGGTTTGTCTTGATATATCCTGATGTATCCTGATGTATCCTGATATGTTCTAGCTTGTCCTGATGTTCTGAATATGTCTCAACCTGTCCTGATGTGTCCCAACTATGTTTTGACTTGTTACTTGTGTGCTGTGTCCCTTATCAAAGTTTGTACCTTTCATTTCAGATGAAGTCCAATAATAGTCTGATGAAATCCAGAGGAGTTCTGGAGGAGTATATGGAACAAAGTCTAAAGCAGGATAGGATAGAAGGAGAGGTCCAGAGGACACAAGGTCTGTAGGTAGTACAAAGTATTGAGTTGCAAAAGACCGACTGTTTATTTCATTGTAACCTATTAGTTTTTATACTATGCACACTGACTGATAATCTTACAAAGTATCACTACAGCAGGAAGGTCCGGGTTAGCACTCACATCTCATTCAATGCATGTTCCGATTCCAACACTACCCCTTTGAGCGCAACAGTGTAACTAAAAAGCAAAAACAGCTCCAGCAGTTTCTGTCTTGGTAGTATTCTTCTGGCAATGTAACTGGTAGTGTCCCTTCTCTTCACAATTGAAGCAGGTGATGTTTTCAAGTGGGACATGACAACAATGAGTGTGGGAAAGCATAGCAGTATCACATGGTGTGGTAGGATTGGTGCCTTGAGATTGGCAAGCTTCTTCATTCATAAGTTGAGTGATGACATGATCGAGCATCAGCTCACTGGATGTAGTGGCATTGAGGGAAACAATGAAATTTTCATAGGATGGGGGAAGACCAAGAGTAAGGATGAGAATAAGAAGATATCAATGTCAATTTCCTTTAATTGAAATGCAACACAGTGCAATGAACGGTTTGAGGTCAATCCATATGGCAGCAGGGGTTGGGATTACAGACATGAGAGAGCTGGGATATTTCAACATGAAGGACAATTTCCGCACGAGCTTTGGCTTGTTTTCTAATAAAAACTTTGGCAACTTTTGAGTTTGGATTTCCAAGTGACATAGCCTTTGTGTCATCAACATATTCTTTCAATCCCTTCCTGACCAACAAAGTTTCCATCAACACAGTGTGGGGAAAGCGTGAGAAAAGTGATGGTAAACAAAAGTGGTGCAATGATAACGATAACAGCGACAATGAGAATGAATCAAGAGCAATGGCAAGAACAACAATGAGAGTGATAATGAGAGCATGAATGTAGATTTGAGCGAGCACTATTGCAACGCAGGGCTCATAACCTATTGAGTTGTGAAAGACCAACTGTTTATTTCATTGTAAACTATTGGTTTTTATACTACACTAATATGAGATAAACCGGTCCGTTAAGTACCTATGCATGCTGACTGTCACTACAGTGGAAAGGTCCGGGTTAGCACTTGTATCTTATTCAACACATGTATGTTCCAATTCCAACACAAAGGTTAGGAGGTCTGAAGATACACAGGACAGAGGTTAATGGAAACAGAGATAACTGAAAGCCAGAAAGGTGAAGATGTCTCCATAGGGATAGGTGCAGGATTTTGGATGGAAGGCTGCACACTGAGGGTTAAAACTTTAAAGCAGTGCATTGTGGGTGCTAGAAGACAGATAAACTAGCTATAAAACTACTCATTGCTGGAGGGTATCATCTGAGTCTTCAGTATCAATGTTGATGGCGGTGTTACTCTTGTGCTCTTGGCTCATAAGCATCTCATGCTCAACCTATACACATACCAGATGATAGCGCTAGGCCAGCCAAGTAATAAGTGTATTTTTTGTGGCTTTCTTTTCTATAATCATTGACTTTGCTTGGTGGAAGACTCAGTCCTATGTGAGTAGCCACCCAGTGGATCTGACATATGTGACATCACCTGTAGACACAGAGATTGTTTCTGTCCCAGGCTGTTACTCACAGTAAGTGATGGTGACTTTTGTGATGGTGAATGGGTCGACTCACATGCTTTTCAGTTGCCCATCTTCAATGCTATGGATCCTGCGGCTAACTTGTCTGTGACACCCTCTGATGATGGGTTAGAACCTGTCGACTCTGAGTCAAACAATGGTGACATTAACTTTACCAATTTTCTTCATTTTCTCAACAGCTACTCTCCTGAGATGCAGGAGCAGGATAAAATGTCAGGACCTCCTGGTTGGTATCATTGGAAGGTTTGTCATGCTATGTCTGTTTCTTAACTCATTTCTCATGTGTTACTATGCACGAAGACCTCCCTAAATATTAATTCTTGCTCACACTTGATGCAGGGTGTGATGGATGGGTGTCTCAGTGGTAATGAAGTTGGACTTGATGTACTCAAAGGTGCTGGCATAGCTCCAGAGTTGAACAGTAGATATATGAATACTTGCATGACCACTGAGTCAAGCAGCAAGGATACCAATGTGCATGGTACTGACATCACCCTGGAGCCAAGTGCAAATGATGTTGATAGTAATGTCTCGATCCATGCTGGTTGCCATCTAGATGAGCCAGATCAGATTGTTGATGATCAATATCACTCCTCTGACTTCACACTCATTCATGATGTTGCAGGGGATGTTGCTCCTCCTGTGCAGTGTCAAAATAACACTGTTGAAGGCATGCAGGTGCAAACTGAAGGCAAGCAGCCAAATAAGAAACAATGTCGCTTAGGTAATATGTTCTTTTTTACTGACCACTGAATGGTGCTGACTCCGACTATTTGCTAGTGTTACATATTAGAAATGATCACAATCAGACCAAAGCTCATAGTGAACAAGAGAGTAGACTTGTGCGTGTGGGACATTTGGAAAGCTATGTCTTTCATTCAATGTTGGTAATAATTCCTACCAGGTTGAGGATCTGGACAAAGCATCAAGACTATTCAGTTTCTTATACATTGCAAGGTACGAGTGCATTTATTCTTTCTGCATGTTTATTTATTATCACCATTCTATAGACCAGAATCCATCTTATTGAAGAACAGAAAATGTGTGATTCATATATCTCCTGCCTTACAGGCAAGCTTTCGATGTGAAGGGAGATCACTGCCCCATCATGGGCATTCACAAGACACCCATGTGACACATGTGACCTCTGCCAAAGTTGTGACATGAAAAAAGTACAGTATCCACAATGCCTACATATATTATGCTTTGAAGTAGTAACAATCTATAGAAGTCTGCTTGGCATTAAGTAGCTCCTCTTGTCGTAATCGAGCACGAAATAAGTGGAGCTGTGATGACAAATTCAGGGAAAACTGAGGATCACCATGTTGCAAGAGAGAAAAATGAGTTTTTTGATGTGAATTTGAGCATTTAGTAGGAGATTGAGCAGATGTATGAGGAGTGTCATTTGTGATCTTCTGCTTCTTTGCAGGTCGAGTGTATGCGGCGGTTGTCTTAATAACCGAGGGTCTTATATAAATACGTGTAAGAATGTAATGACACCACAATTACACTGGATAAGACTTCTTGCCAGTCCTCGATTAACACGGTCTACGACTTTTCTTCTTTCGTGGTAGATAACGTGTGAGTTCTTGGGAGGCTCGCTAAACCAATCAGTCAGATTAACTTAGCCGGAGCTTTATTATCTCTGATTGAAACTATGGGATTGTCTAGGATATACCGTCTAGACACTTGAACTGGTTTCCTGAATATACGGTTAACTGTTGAGAAGCTGGTCTCAAATGTGACTACGTGGACCAAAGCTCGTGTTGGTCAATATACAAATACCTGGTGAGAACGCTGGTCTCACAAATAACAACAATGACAAATAAAAAAAAACAATGACAAATAACAACAATGACAAATAACAACAATGACCAAAGCTCGTGTTGGTCAGTATACAAATACCTGGTGAGAACGCTGGTCTCACAAATAACAACGTTGACCAAAGCTCGTGTTGGTCAGTAAACACTACGTGGTGAGAACACTGGTCTCACAAAAACTGGGTTTCTATCGCGAGAAACTTACGTAATCTCAAGGGAAACACTTTCCCTGCACTTGCCTGGACAGTTCTTACAAAGGAAATGGGCTTTGTAAGCAGCAATTTGTTCAGACTGAAGCTTCTTAGGTGAGAGTTCAATTTGCTCAAGTGGGAGTTCTTGAATGCAACAAGTGGGAGATCTATTTTTTTGGGGGGAGAATGGGCTCTCCTTATATACATTTTGTGTGGGAATATTATGTAAGTAAAAAGGTGATGTAATGACTTCAGAATGTGAGAAGAATATTCCAAAACTTATATGGTCATTTCAGAAATAGATTTCAAACTTGTGAAAATAATTCTTTTTGTGGGCTGGTACATATCTTAGAGGGTACTTCCAGGAATGATATGAGCCAAGAATTACAGAAAACGGCGGTTGGGATGTGGAGATATGGTCAAAATACTGACTTTTTGGCCCTACCACCATATGTCACCAGTAATGATCTCCAGATACTCTGGGACCATCACCAATCGATTTCCAAGCTTGAAAAACCCCAGGACAGCCCTTTACGGTATCGGGTTTAAGTTAAAATCAAGTACAGCAAAATATAGGAGGTAGGAGGGAGGAGGAGGACCTTGTATATCTCAAGAATGCGATTTTTTCTGGGAATTCTGGCTCGACCATCGTGTTCAGAGGGATCAAGAGCCCCCAGGAAAAATGCTTTTGGAGCACTGGCAAGTCATGTGAAGTCTGTAAAAATCGATCTTTGTGGGGGGTATGAGGCAAACTGACCTATTTTATTTCAAACAGGCTAGAAATACTCTGGGATCATCTCCAATCGATTTCTGTGATCATAAAACACTAGGAACATCCTTTGATATATCGGTATTTACATAATATCAAGATATATGAGATAGGAGGGGGGAGGGGGACCTAGCATATCTCAAGAACCTGATTTTTTCTGGCAAATCTGGCTTGACCATCGTGTTCAGGGGGATCAAGAACCCCCAGGAAAAATGCTTTTGGAGCACCAGCAAGTCATGGGAAGTCTGTAAAAATCGATCTTTGTAGGGGGGTATGAGGCAAATTGACATATTTCAATTCAGATAGGCCGGGAATACTCCAGGATCATTTCCAATCACTTTCTGTGATCATAAAACACTAGGAACATCCTTTTGCATCTCAGTCTTCACACAATATCAAGATATATGAGATAGGAGGGGGAGGGAGACCTTGCATATCTCAAGAACATGATTTTTGCTGGCAAATCTGGCTTGACCATCGTGTTCAGATGGATCAAAAACCACCAGGAAGAATACTATTTAAGGACTGACAAGTCATGGGAAGCCTAGAAAAATCGATCTTTGTGGGGGGTATCAGGCCAACTGACACATCACAATTCACATGGGCCCAGATGACTCCGATACCATCTCCAATCAATTAACATGGTCCAAAAACACTAGGAGCATTCTTTTATACATCAGTATTGACATGGAATCATGCCTCTGGGCACAGTAGCTAGGGGGAGGGGGTAGCATCACTATGGAATATGATTTTTTCGGACCAAACCAGTGTTGCCATCTGATTCAGATGGCTCAATAACCCCAGAAACAAGTTCTATTTGAAGCCAAGCAAGTCATATGAAAGCTCAAAAAATCAATCATTGGGTGAGGCAGCATCACACTGCTTACATAAGCAAAAGCGGTCAACTTGACCATAGGTGAGCAACTTTACAACAACATGACTTTGACATATCAAATTGTTGTTCCTACTGGTCTGTGTCTTCAGAAATAAGCCTGAGATCCAGCCATGCAAGTCATACAAAGGCTGAAAAAATCGACTTTGGGTGAAGGCCTCAGCACAAGAGTACTTGATAGCTCATCACTTTGGAACATGATTTTTGCGCACCAAACAAATCCTGCTGTCAGATTCAGGAGGCTTTATAACTTCTAGAACAAGTCCTATCTTGAGTCAGGCAGGTCATGTGAAGGCTGAAAAAAAATCGATCTTAGAGGGTGAGGCAGCATGACAGGGGTGTTCAACTTTTGAACATGATTTTTACACAAGAAATGGGCCTGCCCGTTCAATTTAGATGGCTCAATAACCTCAGAAACAAGTTCAAGATCAAGCCTTGTGAGTCATATGAAGTCTAGAAAAATCGCTCTTGGAGGGAAAGGCAGCATGACAAGGGTGGTCGACTTTGGAACATGATTTTTTGGACAAACTGAGAATTACCAGTGCGTTCAGAGGGCTTCATAATCTTATGAAAGAGTCCTAGTTAAAGTCAGACAAGACAGATGAAGGCTGAAAAACTCGAGCTTGGAGGGAGGCATCATGACAGGGGTAGTGAAGACAGCACTGGAGATGTTCAAGGTCAATCAGTCTCAAAAGAGAGAAGAAAGAGGTGGATGTCTGCCACATTCTATATTCTTCCCATTGTATTGCCTTTGAATCTCATCATAGAATAATTGGAGCCAAATCACAAGGATTTAGGGTGACATACCCATGACTATACCTATGACCGTATCTACACCCACATGGTGGCCTGAAGCGCTGCATTGTCTGTGGATCCATCCTCTCGTTTGTGCTATAGTAGTATGTAGGGTGTCAGAGGAAGTCTAGCAAGTATTATCATTGATCACTGTATTATTCAGCCTAAAGGTAAGATAAATCTCATGTCTATGAAATTTCTACTTCTAATAATGAGCCAGAATGTGCAATGCCATCATGTTTCTTCCTCTCACTTTACCTGACACTGCTTATATATGCAAATATGCGAAATTTCATCAAGTTTATTCCAATGACAATATGTGGTCTTGTTTGACACTGATTATGTAAGCAAAAATGCGGTCAACTTGAACCAAAAATTTTCTCTTTCTTTCTTCTCACTCACTCACTCACTTACTTACTTACTTACTTACTCATTAGATCCTGTCACTATCTTTACTTTTTACTTTTTACTTTACTTATGAACCTGGGGCTTATGTTGGTGTCACCCTCCATGAGGGTCCTACCATTGATTATGGTGCCAACATTTTTCGCTTCTGAGGGTTTTTTTACTTGTTACTTTACTTTACTTTGGGACTGGAAGCTTTTGTTGGTCTCACCCTTCTATGGGGGTAACACCATTGATTATGGTGCCAGCATATTTCGCTTCTGGGCTCTTTTTTTTACTTTTTACTTTACTGATGGACCTGGGGACTTATGTTGGTGTCACCTTCCATGAGGGTCCTACCATTGATTATGGTGCCAACAAATTTTGGTTCTGGGGGCTTTTTTTACTTTACTTTATTTGTGAACCTGAGAGCTTTTGTTGGTCTCACCCTTCTATGGGGGTATCACCATTGATTATGGTGCCAGCATATTTCGCTTCTGGGCTCTTTTTTTTTTACTTTTTACTTTACTGATGAACCTGGGGACTTATGTTGGTGTCGCCCTCCATGAGGGTCCTACCATTGATTATGGTGCCAACAAATTTGGATTCTGGGGGCTTTTTTTACTTTACTTTACTTTGGGACTGGAAGCTTTTGTTGGTCTCACCCTTCTATGGGGGTATCACCATTGATTATGGTGCCAGCATATTTCGCTTCTGGGCTCTTTTTACTTTACTTATGGACCTGGGGACTTATGTTGGTGTCACCCTTCCATGAGGGTCCTACCATTGATTATGGTGCCAACAAATTTTGGTTCTGGGGGCTTTTTTTACTTTTTTACTTTACTTTCCTTGTAAACCTGAGAGCTTATGTTGGTGTCATCCTTCTATGAGGGTATCGCCATTGAGAATGGTGCCAGCATATTTCACTCCCGGGAGGTTTTTGATGTTGTCATTCTGAAGGCTTTATTGTTTGCATCTTTGTTAATAATGATAATAGTAGACCCTGATAAGACTAATAAATTTCGCTTCAAAGCCTTTTGTTATTGGTGTCCTCCACTATGTGGGTCAAACCATTATTATAATGATTAATTGTCGCTATGAAAGGCATTGTGTATTGATATCACCCTGCATGAGGGTCTAAGTGTTAACTCACATCGGCCCAAAAGACTCTGAGATTATCTCCGATCTATTTATATGATGGTAAAACACTGGGAGTGCACTTTTATGCATTATACATTGGTATTCATATAAAATCATGTCTCTGGATGTAATAGGTGGATAGAGGGGGTAGCATGACTTTGGAGCATGATTTTTGTAGATCAAACAAGTGTTACCAACAGATTCATAGGGCTAAATAATATCAGAAACAAGTTCTATTTGAAGCCAGGCAAGTGATATGAAATCTGAACAAATCAATCATTGGGTCAGGAAGTGACACTGACACTTCTTACATAAGCAAAAGCGGGAAATGTGCAATGCTGGAATGCTATTCAGTCTGTGGTTGACTGCCAATGGCCAGTTGGTGGTACCATTGTGTCAAAGCAGGAATTCTGGTATCATTGATGACCATCAGAGATACTATTTTCCTACTCCATAGTATCATCAGTCCGCCTCCCCAGATGGCACTTCATATGGATTAGTTTTGAATAGCATCTCAGATCGAAACATAAATCAGGCAATTTTAGAATTATCAGTGAGATTGAGAGGAGCGCACTGCAGTATCATCAGTCCGCCTCATCAAAGGGTACTCAGTATGAAAGGGTTTTGAATTACATCTCAGGTTGATACATAAATCAGGGCAACATCAGGACCATCAGGATTACCCTGGGCTAACTTTGATTATGAATTAGTCCATCACCATCCGGCCCTCCTTGACAGATTATGTCTCCAAGGATATTGCCCTCTGGGAGAAAAGTCAGTTTCAGGAGCCAACCACAGCATTCAATGTCGCATTTACATTGATGCTCCCTGGCTTAGAATATTGCAGTAGTGGTAGTAGCGGTAGTAGTTAGTTTCAGCTTCGTCCTGTGTCATACGAGAAACTTCATTTTGAGTGCCCTGATCTGACCCATGGTCAAAGCTGATGTATTTTAGCCTTGCAAAGTACAACTTCAGCAAAGCTTCAGGAGATATCTGCTGCTCTGTTAAGAAGGTGATGGTTTGAACATACCTCCTGACCCTTAGCCAATGCCTCCAATATATCCTCTGTTGTGAGTTTGGGACGTCCTAGAGAATCGCTGCCCTGCTTCTAGCATGGGTACAATAAATCCACCAAGATATGCCATGGCAACTCATAACAGAAATCTGGTTTCCACATTGCATGCTCGAGCACCCACATCATATCATGAGTCCAGTGTTCCTTGTCTCTTTGTCCCCTCATGTCAAGATGTGAGGTCATTGGGTTCATCCACCTTGACCTAATTATGATTGATGATTCGCACTCCTAACCCTTTTCTTGCCATCAAATGCCCGCTGGTCTCAGCAAGCTTAGCAAGAGCCCCATCCAAGTTCCAGTTGCGAACTCGCATCATTTGTAATACCCATGATCACCCCAGGCCAACTTTGATCACAAATTAGTCCATCACCATCAAGCCCTCATTAACAGGTTATATCTCCAAGGGTATTGCCCTCTGTGAGAAAGCCAGTTTCAAGATCGACATGGTGTTGATCACCCCAGGCTAACTTTGATTATGAATTAGTCCATCACCATCAAGCCCTCATTAACAGGTTATATCTCCATGCCCTCTATGAGAAAGCCAGTTTCAAGAGGCAACAACAGCATTTGACGTAGCATTTATACTTATGCTCCCCGTGACAGTATGTCCTCTCGATGTCACTTCCTTCTCCCTCAATTTTCACCACATTTTCCTTCCTCACATCTCACCATTTGTTAGTGGGAATGGTGATGACATGTCTGTGACATGAAAAATGAGTTCACTGTCATAAGTTATAAAGCTATAATGATGCTGGATTGTGAAATATTCCTATAGAAATATGTACCAGCGATCTTGGGAATCTACACATACTTGGAAAGACATTTGTTTGACCAATGAGTAACATGTATTAATAATAGCACTGCTTATTGAGACGACATGCAGGAGGAGTGAATGTTCTGCCCAGTAATTCCCTGCTATAAGGAAGGATATTCATATTTCAGTGTCCAGTGCTCCCTGCCTCTCATCCCACTGGAGCTGATAGTTGATGTGATACTTGGCTAAAACCACCAAGTTTGCAATCAAGTCTTACCTCAATATCAGAATATGCCTGCATGATCAAGGTGCTGTTATGTCTACTTGGTTGGCAAGCATCGTACATACAATATAAATTGTGAGCTAATCAACATCCATTTCCTCATCTCTGTCCACTAATTCTCTTGTGTGCATAGGAAATGGCCTAGCTTTGCGAGGACGTGGGGGAGGGGGAACCCTCTGGTTTTTCTTGGTCGTGGTCATCTTTTTGCGAATCTCCCGACGTTTTTGCCTCTCTGTCTTCCTTCTCAGATTTCCATCAGTGTCGAATGGCTGTGAGTCCATGAGGTCAGCCGCAAAGATGCGCTTTCCCTTGATCAACTTCATTGTACGACGTGCTTTTTGGGCCTTCCGTTGACTCTCCGCCCCCCTTCCAATGCAGTCGATCCTGTAAAATGCAGGATTCGTTATGAACACTATGGCATCATGCTTTTGTATCCACACTTTTCCACTGCTTGCAGGAAGACTGTGAAGGTCAGAAAATACTTCACACAACCCTTGCTTGAGCAATTCCTGCTGATTCTCTTCCATCGTCTCCATCATCCGGTGAAACTCTGCGATATATCCATCTCTCTCCCATAGTGCAGACCACTGAGCGTTGTTTTTATGGGAGGCATCATGGTCAGGAAAGAATAGCGAGCACCTGTCCACAAATGTTTTTGACCTTGGACCCATGCGACCGGGAGTTACACCTGTACTGTTATGCAGCCCAGCATTTATATGGTCAAAACTGAAATAGGTTTCAAACTTGTGAAACTATTTCTTTTTGTGGGCTGGTACATATCATGGAGGGTACGTCTAGGAATGATATGAGCCAAGAATTAGAGAAATCGGCGGTTGGGTTATGGAGATATGCTCAAAATACTGCCCTTTTGGCCCCACCACCATATGTCACCAATATCGACCTCCAGATGGTCCAGGACCATCACCAATCGATTCCTACACCTGAAAAACCCTAGGACAGTCCTTTACAGTATCGGTTTTGAGTTAAAATCAAGTACAGCAAAATATAGGGGGTAGGAGGGGGGAGGAGGACCTTGTATATCTCAAGAACGCGATTTTTTCTAGGAATTCTGGCTCGACCATCGTGTTCAGAGGGCTCAAGAGCCCCCAGGAAAAATGCTTTTGGACCACTGGCAAGTCATGGGAATGCTGTAAAAATCGATCTTTGTGGGGGGTATGAGGCAAACTGACCTATTTTATTTCACACAGGCTAGAAATACTCTGAAACCATCTCCAATGGATTTCAGTGATCATAAAACACTAGGATCACCCTTTGATATATCGGTATTTACATGATATCCAGATATATGCGTTAGGAGGGGGGAGGGGGGCCCTGCATATCTCCAGAACCTGATTTTTTCTGGGAAATCTGGCTCGACCATCGTGTTCAGAATGATCAATAGCCCTCGGGAGAAATGCTGTTGGAGCACCAGCAAGTCATGGGATGTCTGTAAAAATCGATCTTTGTGGGGGGGGCATGAGGCAAACTGACATATTTCAATTCAGACAAGCCGGGAATACTCCAGGACCATCTCCAATCGATTTCTGTGATCATAAAACACTAGAAACATCTTTTGATATATCGGTATTTACATAATATCAAGATATATGAGTTAGGAGGGGGGAGGGGGGCCCTGCATATCTCAAGAACATGATTTTTTCTGGGAAATCTGGCTCGACCATCGTGTTCAGATGGATGAAGAACCCCCAGGAAGAATAGTTTTGGAGTACTGGCAAGTCATGGGAAGCCTGAAAAAATCGATCTTTGTGGGGGGGTATCAGGTCAACTGACACATCACAATTCACATGAGCCCAGATGACTCTGAGACCATCTCCAATCAATTAATATGATCCAAAAACACCAGAAACATCCTTTTATACATCAGTATCGACATGGAATCCTGCCTCTGGGCACAGTAGGTAGGGGGAGGGGGAGGGGGTAGCATCACTCTGAAATATGATTTTTTCGGACCAAACCAGTGTTCCCATCAGATTCAGATGGCCAAATAACCCCAGAAACAAGTTCTATTTGAAGCCAAGCAAGTCATATGAAAGCTCAAAAAATCAATCATTGGGTGAGGCAGCATCACAGGGGTGACACTGCTTACATAAGCAAAAGCGGTCACATAGGTGAGCAACTTTGCAACAACATGACTTTGACATATCAAACCGTTGTTTCTACTGGTCCATGAGTTCAGGAACATCAGTATTGACATGGAATCATGCCTCTGGGCACAGTAGGTAGGGGGAGACAGCGGCATCACTCTGGAATATATGTGAATTTCTGAGTGATGGGCTGTATTTAGAAATGCTTATATAAGCAAAAATGCGGTGAACTTGAACCAAAAATTTTCATTCCTTCTTTCTTCCCTCTTCTTCACTCACCCCAAACTCTTTTTTTGAATTTGTGGGTCTGGGGGCCTCTTTTGCTGGTTGTCACTCCTCTATGGGAGTCCACCATTGATAATGGTGCCAGCTTTTTTCGCTTTTTTCACTTTGTGGGTCTGGGGGCCTCTTTTGCTGGTTGTCACTCCTCTATGGGAGTCCACCATTGATAATGGTGCCAGCTTTTTTCGCTTTTTTTCACTTTGTGGGTCTGGGGGCCTCTTTTGCTGGTTGCCACTCCTCTATGGGAGTCCACCATTGATAATGGTGCCAGCTATTTTCGCTTTTTTTCACTTTGTTGGTCTGGGGGCCTCTTTTGCTGGTTGTCACTCCTCTATGGGAGTCCACCATTGATAATGGTGCCAGCTTTTTTCGCTTTTTTTCACTTTGTGGGTCTGGGGGCCTCTTTTGCTGGTTGCCACTCCTCTATGGGAGTCCACCATTGATAATGGTGCCAGCTATTTTCGCTTTTTTTTCACTTTGTTGGTCTGGGGGCCTCTTTTGCTGGTTGTCACTCCTCTATGGGAGTCCACCATTGATAATGGTGCCAGCTATTTTCGCATTTTCTTTCACTTTGTGGGTCTGGGGGACTTTTCCTGGTTGCCACTCCTCTATGGGAGTCTACTATTGATAATAGTACCAGTTTTTTTTTCGCTTTTTTTCACTTTGTGGGTCTGGGGGCCTTTGACTGGTTGTCACTCCTCAATGGGAGCCTACTATTGATAATAGTGCCAGTTATTTTCGCCTCATGAGGCTTTTTGAGATCAACTGATGGCTGTTTAGATAGCTCTCACCCTTCTATGAGGGTTTAGTTAATTGTGTTTAATGTAACTGTTAGAATAGTATAAATAATTTTCGCTTCTGAGAGCATTTGCTATCCATGTCACTATTATCGCTAATGTGAATTATAAATTTTGGATATGAATGTGTTTGAGGTAGAACCAGTGTTGTGTATGAAGTGCCATGCCAAGGAAGGCAAGACTATCAAAGAATTATGACAATGCCTCAGAACACATCACCCTAGACAAAGTATTGGCGTCATGAAATATTCTCAAGAACTTGGCAGATCAACCAGTCTTTTGGTTTCACCTATTATTCCTGGAAGTGACTGTTGTTGACCATGCTGCCAGTAGCATAGACGATAGCGCTCAATACACCAGGTGATGCCCAGGTCATGGTCCTCCGGCTCACACAGTGACATTTTCCCCTGAGAATCCACTGCATATAGAGTATGTAATCGAGGCACCAGAGGCCCAGGCCTGGGATGGCGACTCCTCGTCTTCAAGTCAGACCACCCTGCAAGTACATCAAATATGAGATGCCCTCCTAGAGTTGATGCCGGTTCAGCTCAGAGATTGCGCGAGGCATTGAATCAGTGCAAGTCACATCATACATTCACTCACTCATGGCTCCTCGCTGACACGCTGAAGATGAGGAATCGTGAGTGGGTCTATACTGAAAAATATAAGATAAGTCGCCTGCAGTAGTCCTCGAACGCGAGTAGAAGTCGGCCCAAGAGGATCTTTACTGAGTCTTTTCCTCGAGTAAATGCGAGGGGATGCGCTGAACGAGTCAGCAAGGGAATCTGCGCAAAGCGCGGGTGCGAGACGCCTTGTAAACGCGAAACGCGCGTTAACGCGACGAAAGGTGAAAGTGCGACGTAGGCGGAACCGCGAGGCGGAACAAGCGCGCTATAGGCGTTAGTGAAGAGGCGGAAGTAGCGCGAAGGTCTCTCCAGATTTTCTCAAGAGAGCTTGTTGCAAAAGAATAGAGAGTCGCGCAGTGGTTGTGTTGCAAATGAATAGAAATTGATTCACAGTATACACTGATGCAGGATGATGGGATGTAGTGAGTAAGTAAGTAAGTGAAAAATCTATCAGAGTCCCCATGTCTAAGGTAAATGTTCCCAGGCGCTGAGCCGAAGCGGAAGCGAAGCGAAAAAGAGTTGTTGTGTTGTAGAATAAGGAAATATGTGTAAACAGACGAGGTATATAGCTAAAGTCAGTTGACAAGATAAAGGGAGACGCACCAGCGGATCATAGAGGGACAGGACAGGACGTGCGGAGGACAGGCGACTTGGAAAAGCGAACACGAAGGTAAAGCGCGAAAGCGCGCGCAAAGGCGCCGTAGTAACGCGAAAGGCGCTATAGAGGCGCGCTATAGGCGCCAGATGCGCGGATGCGCGGATTAGGCGGAAGCGTCGCGCGTTTAGCGCGTTTAAGTCGCCTTGTCGTATATAGCGCGCGTTAGTGGAGACAAAGTGGAAATACGGCCTTTGTGAGGCTACTCGCAATGGAGTCTCTACAACGCATCTGAGTGAATCATCGCTAAATGAGCATAAGTCACCTGGTACATTTGCTTGTAGCTTCCTCGCTGAGCATTCACAACGCAGTGAGACGTGGCTCTGAGCGAGTAAGAGGTCGAGGCAAAGGAAAACTGTCGTCAGATGAGCGCAAGTCCAAGCCACCTGGCCCATCTAGATGTACATCTGAGTGGTTCAGAAGTCAAGGCAAAGGAGAAGGAGGGGGTAGCATCACTCTAGAATATGATTTTTTCAGACCAAAACAGTGTTTCCATCGGATTAATATGGCTCCATAACCCCAGAAACAAGTTCAATTTGAAGCCAGGCAAGTCATATGAAAGCTCAAAAAATCAATCATTGGGTGTGACACTGCTTACATAAGCAAAAGCGGTCGACTCGAACATAGGTGGGCAACTTTACAGCATGACTCTGACAGATCAAATTTTAGTCCCTGCTTTATTTATATGGCTCAATGACCTCAGTAATCGCTGTGAGAAACACATGAGGCAGGAAGCACTGGACTGGAAAGGCATTACAGAGTAATCTGAGGATGAAGGTCAAGCTCGCTCCAATCCTGGCGAAATTCTTAATTGAGTGGAACATTTGTGCTGACCAAACATATGTTAATTAGCAGTTTTTGGGGCGCTGTGCATATAGACATACTGCAATATTCGTGTCTTTGGCGGTGATTGTCAATTGCATTTGTTTGTGTGTCCCTTGGGTGAGGCCAGGTCCATGCCCAAGCGTCCGCATCATATCCTGAGTCCAGTGCTCCTTGCCTCTTTGTCTCCTCATGACAAGACGTGAGGTCATTGGGTTCACCCAAGAATGTGAAAGATATGTTCCACCTTGACATGTGGGGCTTCTGGTCTACACATGAGGATGATGTGGTTGCTTTTTGGTGCGTCAAAATGAAAGCTTCAACTTCAAGAGGTGGATACCATCTGCACATCTGGCGCTGATCGTTATCTTGAGCATCTCATTG